ACACACACACACACACACACACACACACACACACACACACACACAAACAATAAAACACTGTTTTCTTATTTATGTTCACACTCACTTCCTGCTAGCTTATTATTGTAAATATTATTTCGCTCTAAACGCTTCAGCTGTCAGAGCATTGAGTCATCATGAAACAACAACTAGTGAAAGTTGCTGACACGTCTTTGTTTGCAGCTTATTTTAGTGTATTATTATTTGATAGCTGAGCTTCTCTGTTTATGGACCAACACTGACCAAGWTACTTCAGATTTATAATCCAACTTACAAAGTTTAGTCCTAGTTTTGATTTTTAGATGGACAGATGTGCAGAATCAAGATGTTTGTGAAGTTCATTTTGAGGCATCCAGTCAGCTAACCTGTGTTGAACTTATCATTCTGTTAACTTGCGTTAGTTTGAGTGGTGTTGCCAACTCAGCATGTAGACACAGGACAGCAACTGGCACATGTTTAAATTATAACCTATTTGTCACAATGCATAACATTTGACAGAGCATGGGTCAAATTCAAGGCCGGTGGGCGACTTACATCTGGACCGTCCACAAAAAACAAAACTATATACTGTATATATATTACCTAATTTAATATGAAAATATTTTTCATCTTAATGATAAAGTTTAAATTTAAATTTATGATTCAATGCAACAAAATAAACATTTAAAACTCGTCTGGCCCCTGAGCTGTAGACTTTATCTAACTATGCCCCACTGAACAATTTAGTTGAATAGTCCTGTATTAATGTCTCAAATTTATCTGTTTTAAAGCCAGCATTGACCATAAACCACATTTCTTGTAATGCAGGTCGATTATGCATGGGAATTCCCTATCTGAAAGTGGGAGAGTTCAGAAATCAAGACGTACCATAACTAAACAGTGAGTATTTCTGTATTATTTCTTGTWCCTTTAGTCAGTCGTACACATAGTACTTTTCAGTGTTTATAGGAGGGTGTGTTAAAATGCTGTTTCTGTGCAGGAAATACCAGTTTCTTGTATAGAAACAGCTCAGTAARTGTTTGTTAGCGGTGCTCAGCCGTAGCAGTGACATGAGGAAGGTTTAATGTTTGGTCAAAATTAAACATGAAACGTTGAAGTTAAACATAACTGACCCTTTGAGGGCCACTATAACTCGTGTGGACCTCGGTGAAAATGAGGTTGACACTCTTGTGATATAGTCTGTATATGCGTTTTAAAGCAAACCTTTTGAATTGAAAGATTCAGAAAAACACGCGTTATGAGCTGCGTTACATTTCTGCTGGTGTGCATGCTGGTTAAGCAGGAGCAGAACTGTGAATTCTGATTCATCTTCTAGAGCTGAACTTTATAGCTCATGTAGATTTTTCAATTTATATTGTAAAAATATAATCAACTTTTGATGACTGGGGGTGGAGTCTCCTCCTTACATTTATTTTGCCAAATATCATTCATTAAAAAGAACTAAATAGTTTTATACCCTGATAATTCTGCTTCTACAAATTGCCCACTTGTTCACTTCTCACCAATGTGAGACTTGTGCGTCTGCCCAGCACCTGACTAGATTTACTTCTTGTCGACCAGCTGCGCCCCATTAGCTTGAGGTTATATCCAGCAGTGAACTGTTGACATTCCTCAAACTCATCCATCTGTTTCCCACTTATCTTTGCATTTATGTTTGTCCTTGCTCAAAATCAAAATGACCCGTTTATGATCTCTACCATTATTTAGCTTTAGACTTATTGTAAATAAAACTGGTTGTTTGTAAAGCTGTCAGTATGTAAAGCTATACAGTATGCATTATGTATGTATATATAT